TCCCCATGGCTGCGTGGCTGAATATTTGTGGGCAAAGAAGGAATGCCATCGTTGTCAACCTCAGCTAACGTAACACAACGGTTGAGCATGCACAGCTCACCTCTCCTATACACGCTGCATCTTAAGGCTACTCGTGTCGCATGAATGTTTCCATCTCATCCGCCGAAATGCGTAGCAGATGGTCATCCGTAAACATACATAACATAAAGCTTGGCGCGTAAACAATATCAGTGACTGCGACTTAAAAACATACGCAACCAAAATTTACAGTATTAAAGACACACACACACACACACACACACACACACACACAGATGTTCCCACATGTGATTGCAGGGATTCTCACTGACCAAAGCAACTCCAGAAAGAGGATTTCACCTCTCAAACCTGATTAAATATGCAGGACTTGACAAGGAAAATAAGTCACAGTTACCTCTCAGACTACTGCCACTAACAACGCTCTGTGTGCCCACATGCCGCAGATAAATTACTGAGCTGCTTACAACAGCATCACAACACTTTCCACTTGCTTTAATCAAAGAAAAATAAACTCAAAGAAGCAAGTCCAGCTGTCATGTTCCTTTTAAGTTCATTTGCAGCTCTGAGTGGCACTGTGCCCTTGTGTATTCGGCTCCACTTCAACTGTGGACTTGTCATGGGTACAGCTCTACCGCCCCCCAGAGTCCGCAAGAAGAAGCGTTTGAGCACGCAGAAAAGGGGATTTGTTATTCTCGTTATAAACTCTTGGGGATCTGATTTCTTCGAGCCCCATCACTCGGAGATAAGTGGCGAATGGAAATCAGCCAGCATGTCGCTCCTCATCTCCATTCCCCTCCAGTGAAAGCCCCCTTTTAAGAACAGCCATGAAAAACGAGCTCGAGAGTTGGTGAAAATGCATCAGAGAATTGATTGAGGGGTGAGGGGGGGTGGTGGTGTCTGGAGAGAGAATAAAAGAGAGCGAAAAAGAAACGATGGAGAGGGTTTGCCAGCATGTAAAAAAAAAATTGGAACAACGTGAGCTCATTCCCCCAATAACATGGGGCACAGAGTGGGAATGAGAGACAGACTAGGACAGAAAAGATAGGGAGAGGAGGGTGGCAGCGAACGTAAAGCACATCTACCAGAAGGAATGATGGGGTTGTTAGTGGTTTGTGAGCCAGATGAAACATTTTAACCAATTTGATTGTTTGTGAAAGAAATCATTCTGATCAAAAACCCAATTGCTGCCAACTGGCCGCCTGGCGTGTCTCAGGGTAATGCAGCCTGACGTGTCGGGGTAAGAGGAGAGGCTTTAGAGCCGAGGAGGAGCAGATGGGGGAGGTCAGCGCTCGCCCTCTCACTTCAAACAAGGGGAAGTGTAAAAACAGACTATTTTAGGGGCTAAAACAACTAACGACAGGATTAGAGGAAGTCCGCTAAGTGGCCTTGAGACGCTGCAGTTTACTTCGCCCAGTACTCAGCTGAGCTAAAAAGGGGCAAGCTGCTTACAAGTGTTGTGCCAAAAAGCGTTTACATTGAACTTTTCGTGTTTATTTTACCCCGAGAAGGTGGTGGAACTGGTATCAGCTGCCATGTGGGACACAATAAGATACTGTACACATGCTGTCGCTGTCAGCAGTACGTTCCTTAAACATTAATGATGAGCTTCCAAAACGAGTGTGAAAAAACATGTTACATTAAACACCAATGGTTGTTTGCAGTCAAATAGATAATAGGTAGATCCTGGGGATTCTGTTCTCCAACAAAAACATACAACAGATATATATATATATCTCTGGGAAAACACAACTGTAATAAAATACTATGTCAGTGTTCATTGGCCAGCTTTTTGTGGAGCTTTGGATCACATCCTGCAGTTTTAGTGACTGTCCCTGTAGGGCTGTTTGTGTTAAAGGACAGAATTATATACCAGAGTCACAATAACACCAGAGCAGGTTTGACTGTGGGATCAAGTCAAAAGCTCAAATAAATAAATAAAAAATAGTAATTGAATCTCAAGCTTGAAGCATTTATGACAGAGGCACTGTGTATTTTTTTAATGTCACGAGCACTGGTGCATTTCACGTAAGTGCAAAATGTTGAATAAAAAATTGCTTCTAAAGTTTTCATCACCATCCATCAGCACAGCTCAAAACATAAAGCAATTTAAAACAAATTTTGTTGTGAAACCTTTATGTCGTACATATGCCTACCTTATCTTATTGTGATTGCATCTTTTTTTAATAACTTTTAGATTATATTTTTTATCCACCGTACCAGAGACAGCAGTAGCCAGAGGCGTCATATTTTCAGGTTGTTCGTCCAGCTTGAGGAAATTTCTCCAAATTTGGAACAAACATTGACTGGAACAATGAACTGATTAGAGTTTGGTGACTGAAGGTCAAAGGTCAATGTCACTGTAACCTAACAAATCAAATTTTAAAAAAACAAAACAAAACAAAAATACATAAATTTCTAATAGGATGAAATGATGAAGTGATTAGCTCTAATATACAAAAGGTAAAAGATCAACTTCATTTTAACATCATAATATTCTGCAAAACCACTTTTCCGGTCAGAAACTGAACTGCTGACGCCAATCTCCACCTACTAAATTCCTTGAAAGCCTTCCCTACATATATTACAGGGTCAAACACTTCTTATGGCTGAAATGTTCAATCAGATATTTAGCATTTTCCAATTAGCAGTACTGTTTTTTTTTCCAACCAGTTCCTGATACAACTAATCCATGTACTTTGGCTCTGATGCAGCTGTCTCTTTTGATCTGTAGTCTCCACTCGGTGGTCTGAAGTAATGTCGGATAGGTGACATGCTCAAGTCCTGAACATTTTTAATTACACTTATGCAAAACGCACGCAAAGAAATTTTAAAGAGATGCTTGTGTTGAAGTATGTTATTGTAAATTTTGATATCAAGATTTACATTTTTATTGAAAACGTATACTGAATGTTGGTGTCCTTGATTACTAATAATCAGTAATCTGACAAAATCATATCATTTGACCCTCACTGTATTATGTGAGTCTGGACAGACATGGACGTAAATTGCAAAGTAGGAATTCTGGTTAATTTTGATATTGATCAATACTTCATACACAGTGTCCTTGGGTGTCTTGAGAAGCACTTAAAATATTTGCTCATTAATAAAATGCAATGGATGCACACAGATCTCACGCGTAATGGTACAAATTACACAGAGCACAGAGCTCTGCAACAACTGCCAGAACCTAAACTATCCAGATGTGATCAGGACTGGGAATCACAGTTGCTGAGTACAAACTGAAGATGTGTCTGTAGACTAAAGTAACAATCTGGCATTCGGTGCTTGTTTAGATTCATAGTGTGTTTAGTCGTTCTCTGATTAAATGTCCTCGCATATGAATCATCACTGTGTTTAGTTTAGACTATTTTATTTAGGCAACGTTCTTGTTCAGCTGCTTGTGTTGAAAACATTTTGAAAGCTGAGGCACTGAGAAGTTTGGCCTGTTTGACGACCGGAAAAAAGGGGGATAATTTTCATATCGTATAAGACAAAACGTTAATTCAGGTCTTATGTATCGATTCGTTTATTTGTAGGCGAGTGTATGTTTTTAGATTTTGTTAAGGAGCACACAATCGTATGTGGCATTCAACCATGCAGCAAAATGAGTCCTTTCGTTGGTAACTGGAGAAAAGCTTTTTCCTATTTGGCGTCATTGTATATCATGACATGTATATCGAAACACAGCTCGTATAACGTTGATTTTGCCTCAACAAGCAAGGTTTTTGTCAGTACTGCAATGCTGACAAAGACACAAAGAAAGCCACATCTATCATAGTATGTTTGATGTCAAGTCCTAGATGCATTTACTTAAGTGCCACTTTGAAGAAAAAAATATTTTAAAATTAGGTTTCATTATAACATTTCACTTTATATGCAGAAATAAGACTTATTACTGCTTAAAATATCTATTTTTTTCAGTGACGATACCCCATCTGCTCCTTCCTATAGCTCCATCCACGTCCAATTGATGACAAAACAATGAGTAGGAATAAAGGCTTCACTCATTAGCAGCAAGCTTTCAATACTCATTAGTGCTTTACTTTGGAGGTAGAAACAAAAACAATCCAGTAGGAACAAATGAAATCAATTAAAGCAGGGATGAACCTGCCCCCCTGCTAAACCTGCAACCAATCAGCGCATAAACACAGATGAATTTGTGTGTTTCCGGTTGTGCAGCGAGTTGCGTCTGGCAGTCTGTGACCTGGTTCTAGTCAAACAAACCTCCAGCCAGCGTACAACAGATCTCCCCTGCTGCAAAAAGTAAAAAAAAAAAAATAAAAATTACAGCTTCATCAAATCCTCTGCTGGCTGCCTGGAACAGAAAACTGCAAATACTGAAGCAGATGTCAGCTACCTCTGTGTGTGTGTGTGTGTGTGTGTGTGTGTGTGTGTGTGTGTGTGTGTGTGTGTTCTCTTTCTCTCATTCATGAAAAAGTGGTGGAAAATCCTGTAACAGCTGTGCAGACATGGCTGATTATCACCACGACTTTCTCTAATACTCTGATTTCAGTCCTTAGTTAAACTATTAAATTTGACAGAAAAATATTTAATTTACATTTTTGGGATTCTTCTTTGGGTGGCTTGACTTAAAGATGTACTGACAGGCAGACATTTTAAGTGAAGTCTAATGTTTTGATGGCAGTGTGTGCTCATCTTGCTGTGTGTCTTTTTGAAATAGTCACTTTTCTTTAAAAAAAAAATAACAACTGCTAAGTTCTATCTAAAACAATGACCTTAGATAATGCATTTCTTCGCAGGCAAAGCATTTTACAATTTTCCAGGAGAGACGGAGTGGATAACCTGATCATAAACACCAGTCAGCATTGCCTAAATGTAATCTGTCTGAACCTCAGGCCAGCTTAAAGGGCAAAAAACTAACAGCAATAACAAAATAATCCATAATTCAGAGGTTTAAAATTGTCTCTAAGCAAGTCAGAGGTAAACACGCATACACACACCTGATTAAAGGTTTTAAAGTGAAGCTCTTTGAAGATGGCATCGCGGTCCTCCACCTCCATCCAGCCTGCAGCTCGGAGCTCCATCACCAGCTGGTCCCGGTCTGCAGGGGAGAGCCAGTGGGAGTCTGACGACTGGAGACAATCCCGTGGAAATAAAACTTATTTAACATCATTACATCTCCCAAGCCAGCATCACTACTGACAAATCACATTATAATCTGTAGTCCTGGGGTCAATTCATCTTGCCCTTTAATCTAAAATGTTGATTCAGCCTTTACATACCTCATATATTCAGTTGTCATGTTTATTTTAGCAGTTAGCTGAGTGCTATTTGTGCTTGCATCCAAAAGGTGGCAGTCTAGCACCAAAAATAAGAACCATGTGATGTCTGCTCAGAAAATTATGTTGCTTTCTTATCGCTCTGATATTTACATCACTGTATAGATATTGGCCGAGGTTTCTCAATGTGTGCATTATAAAAACACACACACCAAACTTGCTTTAAAATCTTTACATTTTTATCTGGTTTCTTATTGGCAAAATCACACACTCACAGTAAAATGAGTTTAGCACTTGCCCGACTTGTTACAACCAACTACTTTGATTCGGCATCTTTACAATCCTCACTTCATGTCGTAATCTTCAGGTTTATGGCACAGCAAATGTGAAAATACACGGCAATGTTAGCAACTTCCAGGTTGGGAGCGAAACAGTCACTGAAATCCAAAATTTGACATTCCGTGTTAATATTCTGTTGTGTTATCACATTATTTACGCCGAATTGAAGACTTGTCGCGAAGCAATTCAAAACGTGTTTAAAAACTGTCCGATACTATGTGTGCCGATTCACATTTAAGAGCGAAATCTTTCATTTTGAGTTTTAACAACGAAGTCCGGCATATGGTCTCATTCGAAAGAGCACAGGCTCACTGGGGCTACCGAAACAGTACAGTGTAGTCTAGTCTCGTGAGATTACACCTGTTCACATGCCTTCTAAACACACTTAAGTCTCAGTTTAATGTGCTTCATAAATGCTAATGCTAATAGGCAGACAGTTCATGCAGCACTCACCATTTTGGACGAGCTGTTCCTGGAGAGCCTCAGGCTGCTCAGCCGGGTCACACGGCTGCAGGGCCATGAGCTGCTCGTCCTCAGGCTAAATATTAATCCAGACATACCCTGCGTTTAGTCAGCTGTCCTCTTTCTGCACTTACACCTCCTCTGCTCTGCGCCTGTTCTCTGCTGCCCTCTCACACTTTACATAGCTGTTTACTTTACTGCCTGATTAAAATGACACATTTTCAATGGGAATCTGGTTATGCATAGGAAAAACAGTAATGACAGTGAATAAAACCAACCTACAAAACAGATTCTAGGCTTACTTATTAGGACAACTGGTATAAAATTAACTACATTTACAGCAAATATTTAATACATGCCTTCATATTGAAAGCGACATGTGCTTTATCTGATATACCTTTTGGTTAATGTTAAGGATGACTGACTTTCATTTTCTCTGCAGCCACTGCTAAATGTGATCCTCCTCTTTTTTGGACTTTGGACTTCAGGACTAAGGCTAAATATCTACTAAAAGCCACAGAAGAGAAAAAGAAGTTCACAGTTTTGCCACCAGCCCAGAAATGGTCCCTTGAAACCAATGAATCATCACATTCTTTATTAGAAACCACACAAATATTTAATTTCATCCAAACACTTAAAGCATAAGCAAATTAGCAATTTTAACAAACTAAAGTGTTTATGAAATAACTGTTCACATCCTTCCCAACTCGCAGTCTGTGTTCAGTCCTGATGCTCGTGCTCCTGTCCGGGTATGAGCCAGCGGATGCTGTCGGTCCTCAGGATGGCATACATCGTGAAGCCTGTGATGAAGAGGATGGAGAAGACCAGCAGCCAGTCGATGCTCTTTACGGGGACGCTGGGGAGGGGGCCCAGGCGATCTGTGTCCGTCACATTTCTGTCGGGGCCGGCTTCAAATCCTGGAACAGACGAAGCTTGTTAAAATGCTTAATGAGTGCTGTTGGAACACATCCGAGTTTTATTGGCTCAGACTGGACCTTAAAGATGACGAGTCTGTTCTACTTGATTTGACAGTAATCTACGCATTTTCCTGTTATTTCTGACTGTGTGACAAACAAAAAATGTCTATTAAGCTTGAGTGAATGAAGAAAAGTAGTTTCTATTTTTAATTTTTATCTTTTTGATGCTGCCTGAGTCCTCTTTGGAGGGCGGCAATAATTCCTCTCTGCAGGAGAAGCCCTGATGTGGTTTCTTGTTTAACAAGTTTATTTGTGTGGATTGGATGAATGATACATAACTCCTTGACAAAAAACTTAACTTTCAGCAAAAAAATACACACTACATTGACTTTTTTTTTAACAGTAAGAATCTATTCTGCGTATCTCAAATTTATATTTCAGCCATCTGTAGGTAGACCAATAAGTTAAAAGAGAAAGAAGTCTTTTCAGTCATTAAATCAGGTGTCAGGTATTCAGCTGTAGCAGGAGAGGTGGTGTAGTGCTTTAATCATCCTTTTAACACAAGACAAATAAAAAGAGAGGACAATTTATTGAGCTTTCAGCTGTTTCCTTCTGATGGTGCTTGAACTGCCTATCTGTGATGTATTGTGTCAGAACCTTAACGTTCAAATTGTGAAATTTCATCAAGATCAATTTAATCTACATGTCTGATTTCCTGTAACCAGATTCTGCTGTGACCAACAGTCACATAACAAAAACTCAGGGATTTTTCTGTTGAACTGCAGGCAGTGTTTACACCGTGCAGAGAGGAGCGAAGGATGGAAACAAATTAAAAATGTAAGTAGTAAAATATCCATAGTATGTACAGACACCACTGTTAACAGCATTGGTAAGACTTGTGGGAACTTGGAAAGTCTTGTACATATTTATCTCAGTTTTTCTCAATTTTTGTAAAATTAGTAATCACAGAAATTATTATTATTATTATTTATCTTTAAATGATTAAAGCATTTTAACTGTGTCATACTGCACAGAAGACATTTCTGAGTTCTCTCTACTTCTAGTCATGGTTGTGTTGTAACCATAGGGGTGCAGAACTTTATATTGCAGTGAAAAATGAGGCCACAGTGAGTAAAAATGTGACAGGAACACAACACACCAGAAGTATTTCAGTAACAGAAGCAAAGCCAGTGCACAGAGGAATGTCTGTAAACCCACAAGGTGATCTGCTAACACTAAGTGACCGATTAAAACTAAGCCAGCAACAAGGAAGCATTCCCTGTGAGGGAGCACTGTCAAGAGAAATCTGAAATCTGCATTAATGCAAGAGAATAAATATATTTATAAGTGGATTACAGTCGCATTGGTTTGGACTGTCTCCACTGCATTTGTACCTGTCTGGTTGGCGATGAAGGAGGTGAGCGTCTCCAGCGTTCTGTCGGTGTGGTTGAAGCGAGCCATGGGTTTGGCCCCCTGGAACAGCAGGATGTTGGGCACCGCCACCGTCCCAAACCTCGTGGAGAGGCTGGTGGAGGATAGAAAAGGACACGACACAAGAATGAATTCAGCTTAGTCTCCGATCCGGTCTAACACACAGAGTAATCAATCAAACAAAAACAAATGTTCTGAATAAACAACATAATGCTCAGTTTTGATTTAGGCTCTTTCCAAGAGGTTTTAATTGAAATATGTGGAGTGTTGGGGGGCTGGTGTTGGTCGTGATACTGTGCTGATCTGCATCAAGATTTTTCACATATAAATAAAATCAAAACATCTGGCGCAGTCTCAACAAGAACTAAAGACTTCAAACTCAGCGAAGTTTGGATTTTCCTTGTACCTTAATCTACAGTTAGCCGTCATTTGTTCTAATATTTATCTCAGTTCAAGCACAAAGTGTAAGTCGTGACTTTGACTAAAAGGCTCCCAACCAGGGAGAAGCTTTGACCCTCGTGAAAACGTAATACGTTCACTCCTGGGGAGCCTAAAAATTAACCAAGCCAAAGAGTGAACAATTAGCATCTGGTTAAACAAGCCAAAAAGGTTGTGAACTCCTGGTCCAAAGGTGCTGATAGATTTTGTTTTACATAAATTTGCCATAGGTAAGATTATAAATTCCCAAAAAGCACTAAGAATTCCTTAATTTTCCAATATTACACACATTTTGTCAGTTTTTCTACACATAAGAACCTTATCAATGGATTCCTTATCTAATTACCCAGTTAACTAGTTAACAAACACATTAGTTACATTTCTGTTTCCAGGCAAAGGTTGACTGAACCACAGACAACGGAGGCTAATTAAAATCAGTAATCCCTTTCACATGCTAAACCAGAAAAACAGAACCATTCACCTGCTGTGCTGCGAGGCATCCAGTGCCAGGAAATGCATGCTGGGAAAGACTCTGGGCAGCGCGTTGAAGTGAGGTGCCAGGCTGGCTGAGAACTGGCACCAGGCGGTGAAGAAGAGCACCACAGAGCACTCTGTACTGTTAGCGTTGAGGAACTCCATCAGGTCCTGACAGAGGTGAGGAGAGGGTGAGGGACGGGTTTAGTAAACTATAGACAAGAGAGCTGAACGGTTCCTTTTCCCAAACCCTGTGTGTCAAGTTAGGTCTTAAAAGACTTAAAAGAGATCCATCTACTCAGAAGTTTAACTGGATTGCACTCACTGACCTAAAAGCTTTTCCTTTTTCTGTCCATAATTTGCAAGTTTGGCAATAGCCATTAGCTTTAGGTAAGAAACCTTTGAATTAAATTTTTTTTTTTAAAAGAAAAGGTACAAAGATTTTAAATACCACACACACTGCATACACTATTGCAAATGGCGTACTATAACTACAAACAGGAAATAACAATTAAAAAAAAAAAAACTTTATACATACTACACACTTGCATCAAGGTCTGGTTTTTTTTTTTCTGCTTTAACCTTCCATCCATCCATTATCTATACAACGCTTAATCCTCACTGGGGTCATGGGGGGGCTGGAGCCAATCCCAGCTGACGTGGGGGGAAGGCCGGGGACACACTGGACAGGTCACCAGTCTATCACAGGGCTACACTTAGAGACAGACAACCAAGCACACTCACATTCACACCTACAGACAATTTAGAATCACCAATTAACCTCAACTTGTTTTTTGGACCTGGGCGCCCGGATAGCTCGGTGGGTAGGGCGGGCGACCCACGTATTTGGACTATAATCCCCGACGCAGCGGCCGCGGTTTGATTCCAGCCAGCGACTCATTTCTATCTTCACTGTCACTATCATTAAAGGCGGAAAAGCCCAAAAAACATGTATTTGGACCTTGTGGGAGGAAGCCGGAGAACCCGGAGAGAACCAATGCAAACTCCACGCAGAAAGAGGTGTCCTCACCGGGACGCGAACAGGCGACCTTCTTGCTGCGAGGCAACGATGCTAACCACCGAGCCACCTTGCAGCCCCGTTTTAACCTTAAATTACACATTAAATGTAAATAAATGTACCCACTGCTGTCAGAATTTCTTAGCTCCTCATCATGTAATGTATGGTCATTTGAAAATTCACTTCATTTTAACAGTAGTGTACCATTTTACGGCACAATGCATATTTTTTTAAAATCATGAGTGGTTCCCTTTGGCTTTCTCTCCATTGGGAAGTGCATTCGTGCCATTTCTTTATTCATGTGTCCTTGCCATTTCTTTATTCATGTAAACAGTCCATATGTGTTTGACTTTTTAAGCAATGTTTCACTTTTATCTTTTTTATCTTTATCTGCAAATCTTGTTCATGTCTTATTTACAAATCACTTTCTAAACTCTGGTTTGTTAGTATTAATATAGTGACTGATCAAGACCGTAATTACTTCTGCTAAGCTAGTTGTTTCTGTCCTTTAAACTGTTTGTATGCTGTAGCCCACATAATATTATTGGATGTGTGTTAAATGTCTGTAGAAACTTAGGAAAAAACATTCAGGGCATCAAAAGTGAGAGTCTGAGGACAGAGCGAGTACCTGAGAAGCGTTGAGGACCTGCACGGTGAAGCTGTCCATTCCTGTGACGTTTCTCTTATCACAGTTCACCTTGTACGTCTTAGCCGCCTCAGTGGTGTTCTGCTCCTCAGCTGCAGTGACGTCTGGGCGCACTATGTCAAGAGTGACCTGCAGGAAAACATCCGCGGGGTAGTCAGCTTCTGCACTCTGAGTGTAATTTTTACTGAGCCTGACAGAGACAAACACACAATCGAACTCATAAAATCTAACTTACTTTCTCTACTGAGTAATAAGACTTCATCAGTTAGATTTCATCTCACTGATTAGTTACTTGGTTTATTATTTGTCTGAAAATACAAACAAAAAAATGTCCAATGCTCATGTTGATGTCCTTGAATGTCTTGCTCTGTCCAATCAAAAGTATAGAGAGATACTTAATTTACATACAGAAAAATCACATACAACAAAAATAAGCAGTGAATAGTTATTTTTGTGCTGATCAGCAAATTAGTCAATTGACTTCTTGCTTCAGCTCTAACCTAAACCCAGAGATAGTTTAAGGCAGTTGTTCAGAAGATTTAGCTTTTGACTTTTTTTGTTTTATATTTGGGACAGAAATAACTGATTTAAATAATTACCAAAGGATGAGACTATTATGAAGTGTATTTCATAACTATTAACTAGATGTGGAAAATAATTTGTTCATACAGTTAATATTGCAGATAAGATATATTTCTATTCAAATCCCACTCGAGCCTTTAGGTTGCGATGTACAACAACTGTTTTGTACGTTGCGCTTCTAGACAGTAACCTGCTGCGATGATTCTGTGCCCTTCTCCTCCAGCGACGCTCCGTTAGCATCCAGAGCAGGTGAACCGCACTGAGCACTGTTCTCATCACAGGGCGGAGAGAAGCCTGACTGGAAGTCTTTCACATTTTTGGGAAAGAGGGACTCAATGTCAGATGGATCGATGGGGGTTTCAATCCCCATCACAGCATCTGCGATCTCGGCCGTCTTGAACTGTCTCTTCGGCAGCAGGTCCAGGTCTTCTGAATCCACAAACTTGGGACTGTTCTCCAAGTCGGACACTGTATCCTCCGACAGCATGAGCTCCAGTGACTCATCATTCTCTGAAAAAAAATCAACAACAAATGCCATTAAGCTCAGTAGAAAAGACATTCCTCTCATGGCTTCCCTTCCCTTTTGTCTTTTATAAGTCAAGTGTAATTCACTGTGCAGAAAACAAGCTTTTTGGTTGTTTCTCTGAAAGGAATCTCTCATTTCTTTGACATAAGACATTTGCCTCCTACCAAAATTGTTCAGTGACCTGAAAGTAGCTATTAACACTTATTCGATTTCAAATTAGAACTTCAATTTGAAACAATGCAAGCAACAAATCGCAAAAGCTGCAATTTAAGACCAACAAGATATGTTTTTTAAGTAATAAAATTAACACTGCCATAAGATTGCACCTAAATTGATCGCATTAAAACTCTCATGGGTTGTTTACTCTTGTCCATTGATTAATGAACAGTAAACGAATGTACTAATACACAATAAAGGCATGCGCTCTATGGTTCAACTAACATAAGCCTAACAAATATTTAATATTCTAACCTTGTACATTTGGCTGCTCGTTTGGCCCAAGATTAAAACTGTCATGTAAATAGTTTCACAAAATGATGCTGTCTTCCTCGTGTCTCGTTTAAGATGGTGTCTCATCTGGTAATCCTCCATCACGTTTTAAATCTGTGGCACAGTTAAGACTTAACTGTAGAATGGCTTTAAAAACGTAGACGGCAAATAATATATATAAATTGTTGAGCCCTACCTAAAGGATCGGCGTTTTTGTACTTAACATATTTGTTTCATTAAAGGACAGTGCACTTCAGACCTTTGAATCCCAATCTCTAGCTCCAATTTGAATGGTGATTCAAACAGAATGATGAATACATGAAAGAACAAATGGATCCCACTACCCTCTGATTGTCAGGATAGACAGGGTCAACAGTTCAACACAGTCCAGCAATCATGACGATTGTTTTCTGTTTAAACAGTTTAAAAGGAGTGATAAGGAAACTGTGTGGTCATTCTGGAGACTGTAGTTTCTGATTTAGATATTTTCTAATATTGTATCCATCGCATTTGTCTAAATGAAGGTAGACTGAAATACTACAGCCCTAATATGATCAGATTCGTTGCAGAACTGCCTTGTTTTACATAGATGCTGCGAGAAAAGATAACTACGAGTATATTACTTTTTGACACAGGTAACACGTGCTGTAAAACTGTTGTTATTTTAATTTTATTTGTCAGTAAATCCTGAACTTACGAAGCAGTATTTCATTGTGTCATAAGCATTTAATTAGCAGAGTACAACATCATCTTGTGGTTATTTCAGTCGTATTAGCCAGTTTGGTCCTGAACAGAGCAAAATGCTGAATACAGTAAATAACAAAACGTCGACTGAGGAAAAACCTGTGTTGACACAAGCTTTGTTAGCATCAACTTGTAGCCTAAATATCAACGTTCAATCTCAACTGTGTGTTGTGCTAGCACCGTTTAGTTAACGACTCCTACCTTGTGCTGTCACAGACGAAAACCTCCACACATCAGAAAAATGTACAACCAATAATAAAACTAACAGTAGGTGAGGTTTGTTTAAAACACCCGTCATATTTTTCAAACGTAGCACGGTAGACACAGATATAAACGGCTGTCACGGCATCTTTAGCCGTGAAGCGATGCTGTTCGGCTTATAGGAACCAATGTTTGGAGCTGCGGCGGAAACAAATAAGCGGTGCACCGCTCAATGCCGCTTCCGGGCCCATGTCTTGTGTTTGCGAGTTGAAAAAATTTAAAAATGTCATAAAATGATGGATTTTTCTCTGTGATATAAGTTAAAAGAAAAAAAAACACTGAAAATAAGATTTTTCTGCCAGCAGGAAGGACATTTACGCAAAAATATATATTTCTATTTGTATTTGAATTACGAAACTTAAATAAATGTATTGAAAATTTCAATTTGAATCACACAATTTGAATTAAATTGCTTAATCTAAATGCAATAGATACAATAATTATAACAATACTTATTATTATTATCGTTATTTGCACTTTAGTTGAATAAAGCATTTTAAGTTGCATTTATTGTACAAAAAAATGACATTTAAGTCAGGTTTATTTTAATAGAATATTCCTGTTTTGAGTAAACGCATTAAGTTATACTTGTTCAGTGTCTGTAAGACAACAGACTGTAACTGAGGAGTTAAGACAAACTGCATCTTTAAAACCACACCTCCTCCTGGAATGAAGCACAACTTTATAACACTCCTTCCTCACTAGACTTTCCCTCCCCTTTCACTGATCTGCCGGTTTGAAGATGGGTGTAAACACCACGTGATGAAATACAAGCGCTGAAATCCCCATGCATTGCAAATCAGTAAACAAGCGTCAAGGAAATGACAACAGCGTTTCTCTGTTAATGGAAAGTGAAACTTAACATTCACTCACCAAGGCAAGAAATGGCGCAGGCTGCAATTCGGGTGGATCGAGAAAAACTGAGCTGTTCCATCTGTCTGGATCTTCTGAAGGATCCAGTCACTATTCCCTGTGGGCACAACTACTGCATGAGCTGCATTAACAACTTCTGGGATGAGAAACAAACACACAGCTGCCCTCAGTGCAGACAGAGCTTCATGCCGAGGCCTGC